TGYKYTTYTTTTTTGAAATCCAGCATATAAAAAATTAGCCCTTCATGTTATAGAAAGGACAATACAAGAGAAATCTCGGGTTTTATAGAAAACGRCCACCTATCAATTAATCGTTAGTTGATAAAATCAGTCAACTTTAAATTAATTTAATAATTAATATATTGCATCCCTAGATGCAATCTCATCTAACATAAATGACTGTGTTAGATGAGCATTTGATATCTATCCACAGTGGGAATATGAAGRTCATGTAGATACATTTTTTTTATTTTGCCCTGATCATCATTTACCAAATTTCCCTCTGGGATCAATAAAGTATTTTTGAATTGAATTGAATTGATGTAATTGATTCATTAAAAATTTAATCGATACATCAATGTGGATCGATGTATTGTTACACCSCTAATAAAGACTGAATTACTTTGGTTTCCCCATCACATAGTCTTTTAACCTCCAATTCAACCAGGTGAATSTCATTGAGATCAGAGATCTCTTTTGCAAGGGAGGCCTGGGTCTGAAGGCAACCAACTCTTCATGTTTTTGTCTGTTTTCTGTTGCTAATTTAGGACCAGGTCAGGGTCATTGGAGCAGCAGCATTTCCTACCACCAAACTACCTTCTCAGGTTCATCAAGGGGGACTCCAATTCAATCTTCAACCAGCACAGGTTGAAATCATCTTCCTAAAAGGCACTAAAAATAACTAAAAATGACTAGACAGGCTACCCTCTAACCTTTAATACTTAGCCCTACACTTAATAGTTCCAACTTTTTAATTTTCCACATTCTAAAAACAATTCTTTTCTCCTGTCAATCTTTGGTTTTCACAGAAAGACACGTACTGCTTCAWATGATGTATTAGTATTGTTAAGGGGAAGAATAAGACAGTAGTTTTAAYATAAACCAGTATATAAATATTTTCAAAGACAGTCTTTGATGCTGACAGCTTGTATTTACTTTCTTCATGCCTTTGCAGAACATACATTTTTAGGTTAGGGGTTCAACAATATGTGACCCATCACATCRAAACGAGGATTAAGTCCAAAGGTTGTACATGGAGAAATAGGCAAATACAGTGTTTTGACTAAAATGTTAACAAAAATTGCATTTTGTCAAAATATAATGAATAAATGCCTTATTAATGTATCATTTGAATGAACTGTCTGAAATATAATCATAAAACAAAATTTTGAAGCAACTTTTTGAGYAGTAGCAACAAAAAAAACTGATTTTGAGGAAAAACGCCTTAAAATTTTGACATTTTCCCTGTGAGTTAGCAAAGTATTGTTTCTTTTTAATTGGGAAATCTTAATATTCAAACATAATTTGAGGTTTCCTCTTTATAAGGACATCAAACATTCCTCAATAAAATGGCATCAAATTAGGATTCAGACCAAATATTTATGTATTATTGTAACCAACAAGACAAAGTAAGGTGTACATATTGATTTAATTATGATATCAGAATGATCCAGGTATCAAAATGTAGCTTTTAAAGCCAAGAATCTGAAAATGTAATTAGGTCATTTTGACTAAATTTGACTTAATCCTCATTTTGACATGATGGGTCACATATATCCTTCACACGTGAATTTAAAATGTGTTAGAAATGCTGAGCGGATGAAATATTTGTGGTATTAGCGTGCAAGCGCTGTAAAATGGCAGCAATAATAGCAGAAACAACAACATGCATTTGCAAAATTATGTGACATGGATAACGATTGGGCTTGCAAATAAATCTTATTTATTGTTTGCTTATGCGTTTCTATTTCTATTCTATTCTATTTAGACTGTAGCCAGTTTCGCAACATAAATGCAACATATAAACAAAACGTAAATAAAAATGAAGGGCGACGTCTTTTCAAAAATACTCTTCGCTTGTTAACGCTACTGTCCACATCGGGGCGTAATGCTTAAACCCAGCTTATTTTTCTATCTTGTCAATACCTGCATGTAAACGACAGAAACAAAACCGTATAAGTACTAAATATTTTACTAAAAGTGTTACCCTGTGACATTTCTATAAACGCAACCCCTCATTTCAGTAATTAAAATGACCCTCAAAACGGATCGGGTGCTAGCCGATGCTAGCGATTAGCTTGTTGTTGCTATCATGCGGCCAATGAATAAATAAATTAATCATTTAAATTGACTTACTTACAAGATACAAGACTTCTGTGTAGGTTTTCTAATTTCTAAGTCATCTCTAAACGATGCTACAAGATCGTACAAGCATTATTCTATACATTATAAACAACTAATATTGCTATCCGTTTTTCAATGTTTTGAAGCTAATTTCATTCACCAACATGGCGTCCGCGACAACTTTTGTATGACCCGGATGTAGTTCTTCTTTTACAGGAAGTGATTTGAAAAGCATGACGCAAATAAAACAAGCGTTTCATTTCCCCTCTTTATTTACAAATCTTACAGGCTTATATACGATTAAACACACAGTTTGAGCAGAAAATCTTAGAGCACTCAAACAGTGAACAAAAACAAAGAACATGGACATTAAAAGCCACACGAGTAAAATTTAAACGCAATAAAAATAATACTTACATCAACTGGAGCCACTTTACATAATATTTTTCAATAATGTTTTTTGAGATTTTAATGATTTGCACAGTTTCTAAGAATCTCTTTAGGGAGGCCAAATCATTAAGAAACAGTAAACATTTTGGCAATGTTTGAACAAATAATTTGATCAAAATGAACATTTTGTTTTGTCCTCCATTATGAGGCCACATTTAACCGCTTTGTTATTGACAATAAAAATCTCTTGAGTTTATTATCCCCTGATTAGGAAAGTGAATCAAAATTATTTTTCAAAATGATGCAAGAAAAATAAAAATATATCCCTTTCTATGCCTGTATTGCATAAATAAATAAATAAATAAATAAATAAATAAATAAATAAAAGACATTCTCTCCAATAATAAATTTTGAATTAAAAAAATCACAACAAGATTAAATATTTATTATTCTGAATGGTTCCAAGCTGTCTTCATAAAGGTGTTTTGTAAAGAGAAATTATATTTATAGACAATTTTCCAATAAAGGAGGATTTGTTCATGAAACATGGATAATTTAATAAGCGTCAATATTTAATATATTTAATATATTTAATAAGGTAAGATTTGACCAAAACTGTTATAACTCAGTCATTCTTTGACATCAAGCCATCTCATTCTGAAGGTGCACAAAAGCTCACAAGACACAAACTCACAGCTTTAGGGAAAAAGACAAAAGCCCACAATTTTTTGTTTATGATTAAAGGTTTAAAGTATGATATTTGTGAATAAGGAATGCTCCTACATTCCTTATTTTGAGCTGTTCTCACCTTCTTACCTTCCACACTTTTATTTTTACCAAAGGTTTTTATCACTGGAACAAGATCGAGCGGTTACAATATTGATTAATGTTTTTAATATTGTAAAACATGCTTATTTGTTGCGATTTATACACTACTGACATTAAATGTCTTGATAATAAAAGTGTATAATTTGTGAGCTTTTCTTTTCTTTTCTTTTCTTTTCTTTTTTACATTAAGGGTGTGAGCTTTTGCATAGGGACTCCAGTCTGAAACTTTGATTCTGGACACAAACCACAAAAACATAACACAAATATGACAAATAGCTGGATTATTTCTGAGCTTTGAGCAAACACATCCAACACAGGGATGTTTGGCTTGAGAAAAAAATAACGTGTGTTTGCTGCAAACCAGAAATGTCTAAAAATAAACTGGTCACCTGGTTAAGAATCACTGAGCAAGATTTAGAATATTATCAAGATCTTGTTTAAAAAAAAGACGCAAACATTTATATGTCAAGACCAGATCTAAACTGAACATTTTTTTTTTCAGTTGGATTTTTTCACCATTTGCTATTTGTTGTTTAGTTTCTGCAGGATGTGATGTTTAATGCTGACTGAGAGGAAAAGCATTCCTTCCTACCTCAGCCTACAAGCACCAGAGGGCATCATTGACATGCCTGAAGAACGAGGGCAGCTTCCAGGAAGAGAAGTTGACCTGGGAACAACAAGCTACTACACATTTCAGATTTTTTAATGAGGGGAAACTATATGGCAGTTTTTAGGGTGAGTCTTGTGGCAACAAGACAGTTGATCAGATAAAAATGAAATTTCAAACAGCAGAAAACTTTTATTTTAATGCCATCTATGTCAAATACTATACCCGCAATGGGAAAAAGGCTGAATGTAAAGTAAAATTAAAAAGTATAAACATCCATCCATCACCTGCTTCTTCCTTTCTGGGTCATGGGGGTCACTGGTGCCCATATCCAGCAGTCAGAGGGGCGGGGTACACCCGGAAAGGTCGCAAGTCCATCACAAGGCCTCCATCACAACAAACACCAACTACATCCATAAAGTTTACTGTGAATCGAGTGGCTAATTATACTTTTAGTTGTAACACATCTTACCCTTCCTGTAACAACCCTCTTTGACAACTGATGGGTGGAACATTGTTAAAGCAAAACCTGTTCACCTGTTCCTCCCACCAGCAGCGAGCCCTCCTTCACCCACTGCCCTTCTTCTTCATCCTAACCTTCCTTCACAACCTGTGAAAAAGGGGATGCTGTGCAACAACAGCGCCCATACTCCAAACGATACCTAACAAGACGGCTCCATATTAAAACCTTCTTGACTTGGTTTCTGTTTTCTAACACCTGAAATGTTTGTGCTGTGCAATAATTTATTCTTGTGCTCCATGTTCATTGCTTATGTTCTACTTTTAATAGTTTTTGTATGTTTTCATTAATTTCTTTAAACTGTAGGTGGTTGAAAGACAATTTAATGAGGACAGATTTTAGAACATATGCTGACATCCGTAAGAATGACCATTAAACAGAAAAAAGCAACTGGTTGTTTCTACATAAAAAACACAATTTCTGATGAACAGACTCATCATTATTTACAAATAAAATTTATTGAGAACACAAAGTATAACGACTCATTTTGCACAGTGGACAAGCAATTCTAAAAGTACAAAAGGCAACTGAATACATTTCAAATGTCTACGGTAAATATTCATTTATAATAAATATGTAATAATGTGTAATTGTTATAACCTGGTATACTGTCTCAAAACAAAAACCTTAACATCTACAATAACAACCATACATTTGCATGAATTCAAACATATCCACAACTAACGTTAGCAAAGTTAATGACTGATGTCAAATTTAATATTCACACACACAAAATGAACATGACATGCAGAACCTCATCAACGCCTGCATCACTTACCTGAGAGACTACCAGATGTCTTTTTTTGTTATCAAACAAAACCTCATTCAAAGTTCTAAATAAACTTATTGCACTTTCCAAAAWCACTGCATGTCTGTGAGACCTTAAGACTAACAGTAATAATGCAGTTACACTTCACCTCACACACTGCTATTATACAAAATTGTACAAAAAAGGCACAGTTTTACAAAAACAAAATGCTACACTGGTAATATTTGGTCATCTCATTCAAAATATTCACACTTGTTAATTGGTGAACATTCATGAACCCAAAACACAAAAGGCCTCAAACAGAGAAACCAACCTAACTCTTAGTTCAAGTACAAAACACTCAAAAATCACATTTGAATAATTTTGATCGTTCCAAGTGCAAAACAAACAAGTATACTTTGGAGTGAATTCTGTCTCATAAAGGTAGTGTACAGCAGGATTTGCACGAGTGCAGGAATCTGCTCGCTTGTGAATTTGACTGTTGAGACTTTCAGGCGTGTAATGCTGCATTGGAGGCTGGTGAATAAATGGGAAAGCTGAGCTTTACCACATATACTTAGTTAATGGGAAAATATTATAGTTTATAAACCCTACAGAATATTAAAACACATACATTGATATGACTGAGATCCAAAACTGTTACATTGGTAATTATTTTATTTAATGGTAGTTTTACAAAAACTACCAATAAAATATATTTTCCAGCATTTTTCCAAAAGAAAATTATTAATATTGAATAGTTTACTTTAAAGGCACAGTGTATAGGATTTGTTGTTTTCAGCGACATCTAGTGGTTGAGTGGTTGAATCATCCTCCCTGGTCC